TGGTTTTGTTGTTTTCCTGGAATGATACGTATCCTTGCTGTTCCTTTATTTAATGGTCGGTTGCTGCACACTGTCATGAGTGACGTGTTTCTCCTCTTTGTTTTGTTTTTTTGTTGCCCACACGCGGTGCCGGCCTCATTGCTGTGCGTCCCACGGACTGCACGAAAGGAGGATTGGAGGAACAGGCCGGATGCCGCAATGAAGTGTGAAGGATGTTGTGTGGGCTGGTGGAACAGCAAGATCTCTTTTAAATTTATTCAATGGAGGCAATATATGTATACACAAACACATGCTCTTATTTTGCCGCTTGGCGCATGAAATAAACGTCCTGCCGAATAAATTTTATTTATTTATTCCGGGATTCCTGCCGGACACTCGACTCTTTTCTTGTTTTTATTGCTTAACTTCTGGTTTGCAGGGCGGTGTGCAAGTTCTGCAATTGTACTGATTTCCTCTGCCTCGACGTGCGTGCTGCTCCTGCTGCTGTTTGTTACTTTGGCTGTGTTACTTTTTTCTCTGCTTACTTCTGCTCTGCGTTGACGGGGAGTTATTTTGTGCTGAAGGCTGCACGCAAGTGACAGGAGTGATGATGATGACCGGCCGTGTGCTGCTGGTGTGTGCCCTCTGCGTGCTGTGGTGCGGTGCCGGATGGGTTTATGCGAGAGAATTCGAGAACAACGCACTGGGTGGCTGCATGGCGTCGGGAGCGTTGGGTGCTAGTTGGTACCATATGCCCAGCGGATGTGATAAAGCTGCGCTTACGCCGCCCTTACGGTCAGCACTGCCTATTCCTGCTATAAAGGCTGAAGCTAGTGAGGATGATGTTCCTCTTAGGGAAGAGGATGATTCAATTTCAACTTCAGGTGCAGTTGTTGGCACCGCCATGCCTGGTGAAAGTGACGGTGCTGCTCTTGTCATTCAATCTGGTCCCCCTGCTGGTGGTGTTGCTCCAACGACCCCCAGCGGTGGGTCATCCACCCAAAACATGGAATCTCAGCGAGCCGTTCAGCATTTAGAACCAACCGATCCTGCGGCGTCCGTATTGCCCAAAGTGGAAGTACCGGGGGAGCCAATGCCCATTGCAGAAGAAAGCCTTTCTAATACACAAGATAGACCAGAAATTCGAGTTACTGGTGAGGATAATACTGAACGCGAGAAACTGCGGAGTGCTGTGGATACGGGAGACCGTTTCAGCGACCAACCAAAAGAACCAACGCCGCCATTGAAAACAACACCACAATTACAACCAACAACACCAGTACCGCCACCGTCGTCAAAAGCATCAACAACGGAATTATCATCAGGAGAGGGAAATCCACAAGCAGCAACAACAGACACGCAGACTCCAACACCAACAATTGGAAAGACGACAACGTCAGAAACCGCAACGGACTATAAAGCACCTAAAACTCCTTCAAAGGATGATGAGGCAGAGCAACACAGTAAAGAGAGGGTCCCATCGGATTTGATGAAGAATACAGCCAACGGCCATCCAGCAGACACAACAGCATCATCCATCCCTACAATTGGCAGTGGTGATGTTCAGAGAAATGCGGATAAGAACGGCAATGATGCTCAACGGCCTGACACAAAAGGAACACACAACGACCCCGCAGCTGTTAATACCAACGATACTCTTACAGCCAGTGTGGCAGCACCACAAACAACAGAAAGACTTGCCGATGCCAAAACAAATCATACGGTGACACCTGGCAACAGTGACGGCGGCACCGCGGTCTCCAACACCACCTCCCCTCTTTTGCTTCTTCTTGTTGTTGCGTGTGCGGCTGCTGCTGCGGTGGTGGCCGCGTGAGAGTGAGGGAGAGAGAGCCGTGCACCGCCCGCACACACACTCGTCTTTCACCCACTCTCTGTGTGTGTCCCCTTGCATGGACTCTCGCCCTCACCTCACCCCACGAAGCACACACATAATGTGCCCATTGTATATATTGCATGCACACCCATGCAGGCCCGTTGGTGCTCTCTTTTTTGCACGACACGCACCGCTGCCGTCCTGCCTGGCTGCATGGGCGGAGCACCGTAATTGTTTCTGTTTTGTTTTTATTGCATTGAGTGGGCGACCCCTCTCTCTCTCTCTCCCTGTGTGTGTGTTTTGCTTTACGGGAGCAATGAGAGTGTGTGCGCTGGTCGTCCTACGCTTCGGCTTTTTGTTTTGCTTTTCATTGTTTTGTGGTTGAGTGCACCCATTCCAGTTTTTTATTTATTTTTGGCATG